TTTTTTTTTATTTTTTTTATTTTTTTAAAAACATCCTTTTAATTTGGTGTTGAGAAGTGTTGCAAAATTGTTGCTGCTCGTTTTTATGTTGCTGAACAAATTGCAGTTGTTCTTATTAAGGACGCTGCTGTGTGGCACGGCGCGTTCATTTAAGTTGAGGTGACAAAAAATTAGTAAACAAAGCGTTCATAATTTCAAGTGAACACTTAAAGGTGTTAAAGTCGTTAAAGGTGCTAAAAATCAGTTGGTGATAAAGTCATAAACTTATCATGATTTTTTTTTAATATATATTTTTTGTAATTAACTTAAAGAAATTAAATCATTTCCGCATACAACTGTTGTCCACTAACACCTGCTGCGATACTCGTAATATATATTCGAGTCAATTGATTTTACCAGAAATGTATTAAAAGCGGTAATAATATTTGCATTTATAATTAAATTAGTAATAGTTTTTTCAGTGCAACTATATTTTTAATAATTATGCTAGATTTAATTAAAGTATAATTTAATAAATAAAATTTAATTTTATTTGAAAAAATTATTTATTTTCTTTTTACTTATCGCAAAAAAAAAGTAAATTTTGTTTGTCAAAGAAATCATATTTAAGTTTTTTAATTATATTCTAATTAAAGTTAATTATTTTTTTTATATAGAATATATAGTTTACTTATCAGGAAAAAAAACTAATGTTTTTTCACTATCTACATTGAAGAAGTAGTCGAAAATATTTGCATAAATATGTACATTCCTCTTAAGAATGAACGAAAATTTGAGTTATTTAATAATCGAACTTAAGTCTGATTAAATTATTGAGATTTAAAATTTAGATTTTGCCTTTGATTGGATTTAATTTTTATAAATGCCGATTTTATATTAACTAGTCTATGAAGAAATTATAATTAATTAAATTAAATATTTTAAAAAGGAAATATATGTACGGTGCTATATGCCAAATAACTCAAGTTTTAACAAAAGTGAACTTATATTATTTTTTTAACAATGAGTGTTATTATTAATGAATTGAGGACTATCATACAATGGAACTTGAGATAGTCTATTGTACTAACTACTGTTGTTTCAACCGATCATTAGGTTTATAATGAACTTTATTATCTTAGATAGTTTGTTTGTTTTGTTTTTATCAACTGATAACCAAACGAACAATAACAATTTTATACAAATTAATACTGTTACTTAAAAAACTAAAATATATTAAGCTTTTATATTACAAGCAATATATAACAACATCAATCTCATTTTGATGCTTTCCGATAACCCCCAAAAAAAGTAATGTAAATTCTATAAAAATAAAAATATACAAAAATTATTAATTAAATAAATTAAATTTATTATAATAAAATTCTATAAGTTCTAAAATTAGTAAGTTTTGAGGTCTAAATTAAAATTTGCAAGTTCGCAAAAAATTCAATATCATATTTTCAAGAAAAAATTTTTTATATAAAAAGTTTCAAAATTAAAAATATGTTTTATATAGATTTTTTTTAACTGATTATGATTTATGTGTTCCATTTAATAATACATAAAAATTTTATGTAATAAAATTTTGTTTTTATGTTTTGGGTAACAAATGTTATTATAAAAAACAAATTCATTTTAGCAGAAATTTTAAATAATAAATGCTTTAAAAGATTAAAATTTAAAGGAACAATAAAATAACATATGAAAAAGATATATAAGATGGAAAAGATGGTCTATATAGTAGACCAGAATATCTGTGTAAATTATTTTTGTTTGTTTTCATTTATATTATTAAAATAAATATTATTTATTTACTTATTTGTGAATTAATATTAAAATTAATTTGAAAATCAACTAAGAACTGAACTAATAGGTCCTTCAGCATTAAAAAAGATATATTAAACTAAAAAACAACCTTAGTCTCAGCAAAAAAACAATTTTATATATGGTATCGACATATATTAATGTCGATGTCAATACAATGTTTTTGTAATACTTTTGTTTTATGTATTAAAGTTAAAAAATTTATTATTAAATTATAATCACACATCTAAGAATTAATTTTTTAACCAAAAAGTTTCAATAAAAAGTATATGTATATAATTTTTTTACTCAGATCAAGACTTCTATGGACAATTTAATTATATATATATATATCTGTTTCCTTTTTTTTGAGTGAAATATTTTATTAAAAAGATTTTATTATAATAAATACTTTTTATCATAATTTATAAGAGTTATATCGCCGATATTTCGAAGTTTTTTTTGTTTCACTCTATGGGCGATTTATTTCAATAAATACTTTATTATCAAGAAAGAAATTATAATATTATATTTGAGTTTTTATATAACTTTGAAATTGTTTATGTTACTTCATTTAGTATAACTAAATAACAAAAAACAATAAAATATAAAAAATTTGCTAATTAATACTTATGAAATTTAATTTACAATAATAAGAACATTTTTTAATCATTTACGAATTTATCTAAAGATATTATTTATTAATTATTTTTATATTTCTATTATTATATTTATTATATGCTTTTATTATACTATTTTTATTATATTTTATTATGTTTTATTTTATTTTATTGTAATTTTTTATACGAATAATACTTTATTTATTTTCATCTTTGCTTTATTTTAATCATAACAGAAAATGTAGATAAACCAATATAATATATTAAATATTATTAATGAACCAATATAATAAAAATTATATATTATATATTATATATATTATATGTATTACTGCAAAAAACAGATAGTATGGAATACGAAGCACTTATTAAAATATATTAAAATTAATTCTTTATGTAATAAATCTAAATGCCTAACTCTTAAATGTTTCTCAATAGTTGTATATATTAAAATCATATAAGATTTATAATAAATGCATTGAAGTTGATGTATTATGAAATAATATTATTATGCCTAAGCCTTCAATTGTTTTTTAGTATTTTTATATAGTTTATATATTATTAGATCATATTTTAATTCTCTACTTCTTAGCTGTCTTCTAACATTTCAATAATTTAAAAATAATTTAGATAAATAATAAATTAATTAAAATTGATATAATATAAAACTGAACAATATTGTTTAACCAAAAAAATGTTTCTATACATCTTTATAATTTAACTATAATTCAGTAATTAATTAGTCAATTTAAAATAGTATATTACAAATAACAACATATACTAATATGATATCTTATGTAAACCCTTAAATATTTATTTATATCTTTGTAAATTAAAATTAGTTTGAAGACATGATTAAAAAATTGAAGTTGATATATTATAGATTATATTATAACGCTTTACCCGCAAAATTTGTTGTGATAATTTTAAAATTTAAATTAATTAATAAACAACAGTACACTGAATTATTGTATTACTATATTAAGGCAAATAGTTAATAAATTAAAATAATATTTAAATTAAAGTATTAGGTATATAAAATTATTTTATAATGTTTAACTCATTAGATCAATTTTAATATATTTATAACTTGGACATAATTCAGATAAATATTTAATAAGTTGATGATTATTGTGTTGATAATTATTATTATACATAAACTCTTGAAATATTTTTTGTTTATTATTTCAACATTTATTTTTTATTATATTTTTTATTTATTTATTATATTATTTATTAGTATTAACATTTTTATTTTTGTTTTATGATTTGAAGTCATAAAAATAAGTATTAGATAAATTGAAACTTTAATATTATTAAGTAATATTGTAATGGGTAACCCTTAAAATATTCATTTTTTTATGATTTAAAATTAATTGAGATAAATAATTAATAAACAATTATTATTACTTAATAAAAATAATATTATTAAATATTATTATAATACGTAACTTTTGAAATATCTATTTGTATGCTAATAATTTAAAATTAATTTAGATATTTAATAAATATATATAAATAGATATATCATAAAACTATATTATAAAGCTTAGATGTTTTGAAATACTTCTTAAATTTAAAAATAATCTGAATAAATATTTAATAAATTTAAATATATATAATATATTTAATACACATCTATAAATCTTATATTCATTATGAATTAATATTTTTATACTTAAAACCTTAATTATAATAAGGATGATAATTTAAAAATTATTCAGATAAATACGAAATTAAAGAAAACCATTATGCTTAACTTTTAAAATTACTAAAGATAACCCCTGAGATATTTTTTAATTTTTTCATAATTTATAAATAATTTGGTTAAATAATTAATAACTCATGAGTACAGGGAATACCTTAAGTAGTTCATTTAAATCACTTGAATTCAGTACTTTTTATATTAATTTTATAAATCATATTTTTACGCTTTCGAAATGTATTTTGTATAAAGATATCTTGCTTGGATCAATGAGTGAAGAGTGTACATTATTAGTAACAAAACATTCTTGAATAAAAATCGAAGCAACAAAAGTAGTGTGAACTTTTGTTTCGCCAGGAAATTCACAATAAAAACTTCACAGATACAAGCAGGGCAGCGGCAGGGCACCGACAGCGACCCTTAACACGGCGTAATTGAATTAAAAACAAGAATAAGACACGCTTTTGGCAAGCTTTCGATTGTTGGGAACTTCGCTCGAAACGCACCGCATAAGCAGGCAGGAGCAGTAAGAAACCTACTTAATAGGTAATACCCGTACCTACGAAAAACAAAGTGCAGGGAACGAAATGCGGAATATGTTGACGAGGTAATTGATTTAATGCTATATGTGGCCATGCGATTGGACTTCCCATCTTGGGAGAAAAATACAAGTTTGGCAATATGTAATAATTGAAAAAATTTTTTCTGCAGCGGCAAAAGTGAAAACATTAATTAAAGTAGCGCATATCTGATCAAGTGATGTTACTTATTATATTTTTTTTTTCTGAGAATAGCTTCCTGACTTACTTTTTTACAGCTTTCCACAATTTGTATAATTTAGTTTCAATAATGGAAATAATTTGTTTACAACATTTTTGAACTTGACTTACCTGCGATAGCCATCCAAGGGTAGAATGTGTGATTGCTGGCTTGATGTAAACTGCTTGCGGCTGCCGATTGCGCAGCAGCGCCTGATATTGTACAATTTGCATTCCAACCGGGACCACCGCCAACACCAACACCACCAGCGCCACCACCTTGACCGCTTCCCACACCGCCACTGCCTGCACCGCCACCGCTACCGCCACGGTGACTAACAGGACTACCACCTGAAGTATCTAAATAGCCTCCGACACGTGAGTCAGGTGTGCAAGCCGATGGACGTACAGGCATACCACCACCTGTATTTTGACCATTAGCGGTATTTGAGCCGTTCGATCCGGAACCACCGCCGCCACCAGAACCGCCACCACCACCACCGCCACCGTTTGAGCTAGTATTCCATAAATCTTTATAACCATTTACGGTGTCGGCTTTAATGTTGAGGCAATCTTGTTTGTAGCCACCGTCACCATAGATCTTATTGCAGGCCGCTGTAATACTGGCATCGTATGGTGAGTCTTGTGTGGTGCGTTGCAAGGGATGGTTGACGTATGGTGACATGCCTAACGATAGTGGGAAGCTTCTATAAGCGGCTGCGGCAGCTGTTGCCGATTGATCGTGATGACCACCAGAGCCCATGCCCATGCCCGTCGCTTGATGCGGATGGCCATAGAAGCCCGAAGTTTGTTCGAAGTATGAATTCATGCTGCTTGCGGTAAGAATTTTGGCGGTTTTCTTATTTTACGTACAACAACAAAATTATTCACTTTCAACTTTTTTTTTGCTGTTGTTAGCTGAGTCTGAGTTTTCTGAGTTTTCTGAGAAGTCTGAAGTGTCTTAGATTATACACTAAGATTTGGCAAGTTGTACTAATATTTAATAAATATTAATTATCGTTGTTTAAGCAATAACATTAAAATTAACTTGTTGCAATGTTCACTGGGATTAGGATTTTGTAGTTTTTAATAGAATAATGGTTAGTTTTTTTTTCTTTTGTTTTGTTAATATCACTTAATAAATTTTAATTAATTTTTCTTATTGAAATATTGATTATATTAGTATTTTTTATTGCACTTATCTTAATAGTTACTTTTTACTTTTACTAAAATTTTTTATATATTTTTAAATTTATTCTTAAACATTTTCAATTAATTTTTTTTTTTTTTAAATTTTATTCACAATTTTTCGTATACTTCGTTTCTGCTCCCAAAAATTACTTTTTATCAAATTATAACATTTTTATTTTTTTTCCAATTTCATTGTTTTTATTTAAAAAAAAAATAATAATAATAAAAATTTAGAGTAAACAAGTCACAAGTAAACAATTTTTGAATTGAATCTTTACTTTATAAAGACATATGTAAAAATGTCTAATATTGAGCATTAATAAATTTTAATTATTAATTAATATTTCAATTTATTTTAATTTTTAATAATTCAACACTTTTAATTTATAACAGTTTTTTTATATATATATTTATTTATTTTGTTTTTTTTTTTGTATAATTTTCAATGACCGTAAAGTTTTTTTTTGCTCAGATTTTGTTCTGCTTAATTTATGTAATTTTAATGCAATCTTTTTTGGTTAATAATATTTTTTTTATTATTATTATTATATTAATTTAAATTTTTATTATTGGGAGTATTCTATATTTTGTAGTGTGTATTTTGTTGTAGTAGCGGAAACTTTTAATCTTATTTAAATCTTATTTTAATTTTATTTTAATCTTTATTGTAAACTTTATTTTATTCTTCACTTATACTACAAGTTCAAGCGGCAATAATCGTAATCATTATAATAAAAATCTATTTTATTGTGTTTATGATGAACTGTGTTCGTTGCGGTTGGTAGCTACTACTAAGAGCTAAGAGCTAAGAGCTAAGAGATGCTTGCTGTGTATTGCCAATAATAACAATAAATGGTGATAAAGTGGATAATAAAACAAAGCGCGCGCCTGTTATCCAAACCGTTGCCATCGAACGAATGTTCCACCAAATCGCAGTTTGTTGTATTTTGACTGACTGACGATAAAATAACGATGATGGTCTGGTCTGGTTTGCTTTGCTTTGCCTTGCTTTGCTTTAGTTTGGTCTACTACTACCACGCGCTGTACTGTGCCGTTCTGTGCCTTTCTGTGCTGTTCTGCTTGGTACAAGCTCTGTGTTATGTTTACTGCACGTAGCTTCCAAAAAGACCAAATAAAGCAAGGGAAAAACCAAACCGAAAAACCAAAACCAAAGAAGTAATATCAAAAACACTGAATTTCTGAACACGACACGGCACACGGCATAACTGAAAATTCGAGAGCGAATTCTCTCAGCACTCGCTCAACAAATATGAGTACAAATACGAGTACGGATACGTATCTAAAGACCAATTTAGAAATTAAAACTACGCACTCATCGTCGTCGTCATCGGCGTCGTCGTAGCCGTCGCCGTCGCCGTCGTTGTCAACCAAAACAACAAATACGGCTCAGCTCAACTCAATCAGTCAGTTGAAATTTTGTTCTGCACAAGTTCTGATAACAGCAAAAGCAGTACAATATTTACGCGCAAGAGCAAAAGTATCTCGATTCGATTCCGAATTCAAACAAACTCTGAACTCACTGAACTAAGCAACTGAAATTTTTTTGTGTTTTTTGCTTTTCGCCAAAAAGCCCTGTATTATTCACAAACGTTCACTACTGCGAAATATCTGTGTCCAAAAGGCGACGGCAGTCAGCAGTTGGTTAACACACAGTTTGTCGATACACACCACAGTTAAAACACACGGTCGAAGAGTATCTGCGGCTGCTGTTGCTTTTGTATTTCAAAGCGTGTTCGACTCAAAGTTACCCACTGCGGTTGGTTGGTTGGTTGGTGAATAGCCAAACATAAAAATGATGAATACTTCCAAAAGCACTCAAATTCAAATTCAAATTCATTTGCAAGCAACAAACTACAATACACCACTCAATTCGACTCGATGTTGTGATGTTGTGTGGAGCGCGAACGAGCGAACGAGCGAACACAACAATGTTGCTTGGTATCCAACATGTTCGAGCCGGTTTGAGCGAGCTCATTCATTGTAGTTTCTAATGCATGCATTATTGCGCTCTGCAGTGATGGAGGGTGTTATTTAAACATTTTGAGTTAAAAGGTATTTATCATTTGCGCCTGTGGAAAATTGCTATGTGAAAATTCATCATGGAGGAGGGCAAATTTTTCTAATAGGCCAGGCGAAGCCGTAACATTTCAGCGCTCACACATTTCTGTGTTGAGATTTAACTCAATTTTGCAACTTTATGAGCGCCTCTAACATTGCATTTTCGACATTAAGGAACATATTTATTTCGGTGCAATCTGTTGGATTTCATTTCTCGTTGCACTACGAACCGCATGCATGAATAATTGTGTCGATTTTATTCCATTTTTGCCGCTGAAATATTTTTTTCTGTGTCGTGCAAAACTATTTCAAATAAATAATGAAATATTATTAAATAATATTATTATTATTAATTATAATATATGAATTAATTAATATTAATAATTAATATTTAAAGTTTAATTAGTTTTGTTGATAAAGCCACGTTTTCTTATAATGACAAAGAACTATTTTTTTAATATTATAACAAATATAATATAAAATTATTTGTATAATAAAATATATAATACAAATATATAAATATGTTAATATATATAAAATATATAATAAATATATAATATAATACATAATATTGTATTAATATTATTAGTATAATACAATAATTTATATTATATTAATATACTAATTAATATATCAAAAAATTATTAATAAGTAAAATTCTTATTATTATTATTCTTATTATTTTAATTATAATATATTGCAAAAAATTATACTAAGTCCTTAAATTGTAATTTAAAGTCATTCATAACGTAGTGGCTATTTATTCTATAATACAAATATGTAAATATATTAATATATATAAAATATATAATAAATATATAATATAATACATAATATTGTATTAATATTATTAATATAATACAATACTTACTATTATATTCTTATTATTTTGATTATAAAATATTGCAACAGTCTTTAAATTGTAATTTAAAGTCATTCATAACGTAGTGGCTCTTTATTCTACTTAACAGAAACTATTGTATTTGATAGAGAGATATAGATGATAGATGATAGTGAGAAATTAGTTTTTAAATTAACACCTTATTTTTTTAATAAAAAATAAAAAAATATATACAATATATGAAAAATGTTTACAAGATTATATATAATTTTTTAATATAAAATAATAAAATATTTTAAATAAAATATTTAAATAAATAAAAGATTTATTTAAAATATTTTTTAATATAAAACAAATATGAAAAACACAAAAATTATGTTTACGATTATACGGCTTTGAATCAGTTGGCTAATAAACACTAACTTTGAGCTTTGAATTTGACAGAATAGAAGTTCAACCAATAATTCCGATATCACTGATTATGGGTATTTGGCAACACCCGAATACCCACAAACTCAATTAATTAAAATAATTTAAAAATAATTTTTTTAGTTGTAGTTCCTTGCCTTTCGAAACCTTCATAATATAAAATAATGAAATAAATAGGCAAGCAAAAATTTGTTTAAAATTTTATTTAGTATCTTAATACAAAGTAGTAAAATAAATATACCAAATTTAATATTCAAAGGACGTTATAATGAATTGCCCAGCTCATGCAAGGCGGCGACTTAATACTTTAGGAGCCCTCTTTCTTGACGACCTATACCAATTGCAGGACCTGACACTAAATAGCATTTTATGCTTCGCTAAAGGTTCTAAGTGGTTTTTAACCTGAATTTTAACTGACATTTAATTGCTTTGTATGGTTAAATTATCATTAATTACTTAAGATTTAATTTTTTAGACAGAATTGTCTTCCGGAAACTAACCGTTTTCAAACAGTATTTTAGACTATAGAAACTTAGAAAATTTATATAGAATTTTATTTATAACTTAAAAATTTATTTATAATAATTTATTTATATCGAATTGTTTATAAGCCGGAAATATGATATTTAATAAATTTCTGTATTGACCTTTATTTACTCGACCGTATTTGGCTGAGTATATAAGAACAATCGTTTTTCTAGAAAGTATTACCGTCTTCAAATGCATTGTTCATAAAGAATCGACTTTTCAGGTATTTGAACTCAAAATATATACTTCATAAGCTGAGAACATTGTGTTTAATAATTTTTTTTGTATTTATCTTTATATTAATTATTAATTTTGGCTAAGTTATCTAAAAGAGTTGTATACACAAAAGTGAATATGACCGATGTACTTATGTCTTCATTAGTTGAAAGTTAATTGGTACAGAGTAATTGACATAACCCTTACAACGTCTTACATAAAGAAGTACTTCGGGAGACCACTGATACTGCCACATATTTACTTTTATTAGAATAGTATTAGAAGTTTATATCATAAAACAAACTGAGAGACTTAAGTCATATATTTCTTTTAATTTCTCGTTATATCATTTTCTAGTTTGCGAAAATTTCATTGAACTAAAACTTTCTTCATAAGGTCTATCATATATTTTTTTATTCAAATTGATTAATTCTATAGGAAAGAGAAAGACTACGTATTGCGTAGTTCAATTAAATTTATTTAATATGACACATTACTTATGGGCTGTTATATGGGTTAGTGCCTGTGGACTGTATCTACGTCAGCATCTTTCCTAGAATTCGGTTTTTAAATTATACTTTCAGACTGCCAAGTAAAGCGAAGCTGCTTTATTAATTAATTAATTAGTAAATTAATGATTACATTTTGTATGATAAAAATAAAATACAATAAGAATTAAATCTATAATTCATTATAGAATTTAATTAAATTGGATTTTATATATTCATAAAATATAATATTAAGTAATTGTTTTCAAAAATAATTTTTATAA